GGCATTTTCTTTTGTCATGGCTTGGTCCAGTGCAGTGAGGAAAAAAAAAAGAAAATATAGGTGAATGTGACTTTCCAGGTTGCTGTCATTTGGTGTTGGATGGAGGGCTCACAAACGCTTTCCACACAGGCTCTTGAACTTAAATCTCCAGAAGGTCAGCATCAGAAAACACTCTTGTCAGTGTCTTGAGAAAAGAGGGTTAAGTGGACCTGAATTCTAAGTCTTATTGCTTTTACTATAGCTGAATAAGCAGCTCATTCAGCTGTTACTAAGTTGGTGTGTTTTCCTGTTTTCCTGGCCTCCTAGAGAAGTGGGATCAGCGTGCGATCTGTGCGTGGAAGGAAGAGTCCTGGTGCAGTACGCCTTCAGCGCCTCCTCCCCCATGCCCTGCGACCCCTCGGGGCACTGGAGCCCACGGGAGGCAGAAGGTGAGTCACGGGATGGGGACAAACATAGGAGGGGGACAAACACAGGGTGGCACAGAGCAAAGGGAGAGCCACAAAGGTGGGAGGAAAATCTGGGAAGGAGTGGGAAATACCCAGTGATACATGCCCGTAAYGCGAACAGAAGTAGTGGGCAGAGGAGCACCGTGCCCTGAAGGAATGCCATTGGCTCCAAAACCTGTGTTTTGGCCCCTGASTCCTGCCCCTGCCCACGAATTAAGYGAATTCCGGGAGCTGAACGTGAATTTCACAAAGCAGCAGAGTGCCAAGAAATGCTGACCATTCACATCTGCCAGACGAATTCCTCAGGGGAGCTGTTTGCTCCCTCTACTCCAGCTCGGAAAGTGAGGAGTTGTTATTTATTTGGGCCTGATTTGTGCTGCCTTTGTTCGTGGTGAGCAGCAGCGGGCTGGAAGGGGGTTGCCCTTTGGAAAAGCGCTGTGCTGCAGGAATGCAGGTGACCACGTCAAGCCCTGTGGTTCAGGGTGCTTTGAGAGGCATTCTCTTGGAGCCTGTCGGAAGGAGAACGGTCTGCAGGGCTGGCTGTGCAGTGCCATTAGATCTCCATCATTAACTCTCCTGCCCATGTCCCTTCCGTGATGTCCCTGGGTGTTTGTGGTGGAGCATATTTCAGATTGTCCCAGGCAAAGGTCAGCCATCCCAAAGGGCGGYTTGGAAGGAGCAGGGTGTTATTTCAGCCTGTCCCTCGTGAGCTGTTCCTTCCGGGGCAGCACGCTCCGAGCCCAGACTTCTCTGTGAGCACACAGATGGGGTCACTGAGCCCCAAGGACAACCCTGGATCCTACAAACTCATTTTACTAGTGCCTCCCTATGTTGAAGTTCATTTGTCCTGTAACTAGAGCACCTGGGAGTTGTTCTACAGGGAATATTTTTTGGGCTAGCACCCAGGAGCCCTCCTTTATCCTAAAGGCAGCACATGCAATGAGTGTGTCCCTGTTCCTTGATGGGACTGTGGGCAAGTGTCCTCTTGGATGTCCCAGGGTTGGGGTCCAGCAGAGGCTGTGCTTCACTCCAACTCAGCTCCTATATTTGGAACAGCTTGCCCAGAAAAGCCGTGACTGCCCCTGAATCCATGGAAGTGACCAAGGCCAGGCTGAACACTGGGGCTTGGAGCACCCTGGGACAGTGGGAGGTGTCCCTGCCCATGTTGGGGGGGTGGAGCTTTAAGGTCCCTTCCAAGCCAAGCCATTCCATGGTTCTGTGACATCCAAGGCTCCTGGGCACAGCCCAGAACATACCTGTCCCTTGGGTGGGTACTCCACCCTGGGAAGCAGCACCCCGGCCATGAGGATGACTGTATCATCCAATAAATGGCACTAGCAAAGTTTGGATCACTTGCAGTTCAGAGTAGAAGGTGGAATTTCCACTTAGCCAAGGATTACAAGGTTTTGAAACCTGGTTTCATTTGGAAGAAAACTTGAAACTTTTGAAATTCTCCATGAAGGAAAATTAAAAACAAGAAGTGTTTGAGGCTGGCCAAAATGTTTTGTTTAGCTCATGTAATTCCTCATGAACTTTGGTTAAATTATACCATTTGAAAATATACCCTTTTAGTATAGAATCTAGGGCAAAAGCAACTTGGAGTATCAAAATGGAAAGTGTTTCAAGGTGCAAAAGTGAAAAAGTTTCTTCCAAAAATGTCAAAACACAATGTTCCAATAGTGTTAGAAATTTCTTGCCTTTTTCTCTTCCAGAATAAAATTTTGCCAAATAAACCCAATTTTGCAAAGAGTTTTTATTTTGAAAGGACTGCATATTCCATTGAAATATGCGGTTCCATCAAAATTTCTCTGCTGAGCTTTGAATCAAAAACTTCTAGATCTCACACATCTTGCCAGAGGCATCATTCCTAGAGAAACTAAGCCACTCTAAGATTTATTACTCAGCAGCATTTTGCATTTAATTTCCTCTTCTTGCTCTGTGTGCCTGCATGTTCTTTCCTATGAAGGGTGCAGTCTGATCCTTATCTMACTCAGTTGCTCTTGTGCCATTAAACAGAATTTTGGTAATCCTGTCCTCAGGATTAACGAATTGTTGCCACTTAGGGGTAGAAAATACATGGAGGGTATGGTGTTTGCTGCTCCATGGCTTTCTGTTGTCCCTGATTGAGGCTCTCTGAATATTTGTAGTTGGTCTGAGTTACAAATGGCTCAGTCAGATCGTTGTGGGGCTTCTTCCATTGTCTATCTGTGAGTGTTCGAGTATGCAAGCTTTAAATTCACTCTCTGCAAGCTTTAAATTCACTCTCTGCAGGCGTTCATGGGTGTAAATCTCACCTGCTTGAATGTCTGTGGAAAGTGAAGACAAAGGAGGCACAAGCAGGGCCAAAATTATCTCGTTTTAAAATCGGAGATGGCACTCATGGAAAATGTTTTGTAGGACCTGTCCAGCTTCTGAGAAGAAAACCATGTTCCTCACGTGTTTCTGGTTGGTCTGATCTCATTTTCCTGAGGTCTCCTATCCCAGGTAGCTGCTCCAGCAGTGGTCTGGGCTCTGTGTGAGCTGTGCCCATTGCAAAATCCCACTGTGGGCTCTGCATTCTTCCTAATTCCCTGCTCATTCCTGAGCATAGTGGGATCCAAACCCCAGTTCCTTCTCAGCCAGTTTTTGCCCCTGCATGAGGGGCTGTTTTTTCCTTGGCAGGGGTTGTGGGAAGGCTCTGGAGATCAGGCAGTTCTGATTTACTCTTTATCTTCACCGTAGAGCCAGAAAGCTCCAACCTCCCTGGATTCTCACCAGCAGAGCCAGCTAGATCAACAAACCTTACAGCACCTCCATAACTCTGTCAAAGGGAGGTTTTATATAAGAAAGGTGATTTTGGCTTAAGCCCAGTGAGTACCTTTGCTTGCTGTGCAATATGTGCATATATCAGTCAGTTCCTCCTGCCTGCCTCACTGCTGACTGAGAGAAGTATGAGAATATTACAAAAAATAYTGCTGCCCCTGGCTGCTCTAGAGCTCCTTTTCCTGGGGCTAAAATTTCCCTCGAGAACAATTTATTCTGTATTTGCAAATGGAATTGTCCTGGCTGGACACTGGAGCCCCACTGGATGACTCCTTTATCTTGACCACCTAATAAATGTGGCAGGTGAGTTGCAGTTGTGCCAGGGGTGACATCCTAATGCCAGGTGGCCTCTGAGGCTCTGTCCCTGTGCTGGAGAATTCAGGCACCACACAATGAAGGATTGACACACCAGGCTGTGGTTGTGGACAGCATTTTGGGGAAAGACACCCTCCCAACCTGCTCTCTAACCAGGGCAAGGGGTTTGGCTCAGCCTCACAAACCTCACATTCCTGTTTTGTGTGAGGCAAGAGGTGATGTTGGATGAGATGCTGTTCTGTGTCTGATCTGACTGTCTCATAGCAAAGGATTTTCATAACCTGAATGCAGAGTGGAAGAACAAACTCTACACCATTTACTTTTATATRCAAATATTTGTAATGTTCAGAGTATTTACCCATCTCTAGAAATCCAGTTAGATGAAGTAAGGTTTTCATCCTTTTCCACAATTAAATGAATATTTCTTACCAGGTCCAAGTGTTGGATGACATTTAAGAAAAAGTCTCTTTATCTCAGCTTCATTGAGGTTTCTAGTCTATGAACAACTACAGTCTGCCTCCCATTTTGCAGTAACAATCTGTGTGCTAAGCTCCCTGGAGGATGAGTCCAAACCATACATCTCCAGGGTTCACACCCTGATCTCCCAAAAATTGCAGGTTTGTTTGGAATTGAAGTCTTCACCGAGGCCTTGCACTGACAGAGGTGAATTTGCAGGATCCCAGGTGGGGACGTACTGGGCTGTGAGCCATCAGCTCCATTTTCCTTTCTGTAAGGGGACAGGGGTAAAATTCACAGACCTTTCCAAAGCCCTCTGAGATACTGGAGTTAAAAAACACCTCAGGGTTGCAGCCAGGAGTTTGCTGTGGGTCTGAGAAAGTCGTCAGAGGGCTCAGCCAAGCACACCCAGCCGGCAATGGGGATGAGATAATGTGAGCTGAATGGGGTATTGCTGCTCACGGTGATTACCCACAGGGCTTGCACGTTTGCCAGCGGGGAAACTCGAGCGTGTTAAATGGACCTCTGGCTTTCTTCAAAATGTATCACTGCTGTGGGCTCCCCAGATGCTGAGCTTAGTGGCATTCCCACTGCTCTGTGCCATGGGAGGAGGAGAGAAGGGTCTGGGATATGGGAGGTGAGGGAGAAGCGTGAAAAGTTGGGCATCTGCAGGACAATAGCGCTGAATCGCAGGAAGGCTGCCAGGAAATCTATTCTGCATCTGGGTTCATTTGGTATGAACAGGAGAATTCCCTGCGCTGTTTATCCTTGACAAAAGAGGCACATTTCTAACACCTCATTGGATCACAGACAATCAGAATAACCTTCGCACGTTGCCCTTTTCTCATTAAATTAGTAGTGATGTCCTGTTTGTCCATGTTTGCCCAGTAGTTTATCTTGCTTTCTTCCTCAGTTGCAAACAGCTGTACTCTTCTTTTTTTTTTTCCCTCTGCCTTCTGCATTTCTCTGCTCCCATTACCTTTCTTTATCTTCTTTTTCTGTACTTTGCCTTCTCCCCATCATGCTTGCCTCCCTTTTTTGTGTGTGTGTGATTATTTGGGAAGGAAAAGGGAATTTATAGCTCTCACTGGATTCTGTTACCAACTGTTCCACCCATCTGACCCCTCTGGATCTTGCAGTCCATGACTCCACGCCAAATTGTAATGTTACCATAGTATTTGGGAACCCAGCAAGCATTGTGGCTTTCATTATATTTTAGTGCTACCTCCCATGTAGCTGAACACAGCCAACGGTGAGAAACGTAAAAGCACAAGTGCCTGTTGTTTCATCACAACGAGAGCAAAGAGACAGCTCAGACCTGTGCACCATGTGCCTCCAAAAAAGGGGTCTTGCACAACATGCTAGATCAGCCTGTAAATGCCACAGGAGCTGCCCCAAACAGTACAACAGCTTCTTGGAACAAACAAAGGCTCTTTTCTTGTCTTTGTTCAAGAGAAAAATATTGTATTTGCAAGTGAGAGGCAAGGGAATAGGTAGGAGGTGAACTGAAGGCAAAGKGACTCTGTTTATCAGGTAAACTACYKAGCAKAAGGGGTAGAAAATATCATTGTTTGGCACAGGGAAAGGCACTAGAAATAGGAAATGCAGGCCCAGCTGCACTGGCACAGTGTGTGGTGTGTGTTGTCCAGTCCAGCTGGGCACTTGAACTGGGTTTGTGCCTCTCGCCTCACCTGGGGATTGATTTATGTTCTCCTCCCCATGYTGGCCATGTTTCTGTTGAAATAAATGATTAATTTCCTGGACAGATATGTTCTCCTGCTACCAGTCTGCCTTTTAAGACTGATGCCAATAAAAACTCACMTTCTCTAACTTCTTTTGTGCCCTCTCTTTGCTTCCTTCTTCCTTCCCAGGGCACCCTGATGTCGAGCAGCCCTGTAAATCCAGCGTCAGGACRTGGAGTCCCAACTCAGCTGTCAACCAGCACACGGTGCCCCCAGCCTGCCCCGAGCCCCAGGGCTGCTACCTGCAGCTGGAATTTCGCTATCCCCTGACTCCAGAGTCCCTCACAGTCTGGGTGACCTTCGTTTCCCCGGACTGGGACTCCAGCGGAGCGGTGAATGACATCAAGCTGCTCACCGTCAGCGGGAAGAACATCTCCCTGGGGCCACAGAACGTYTTCTGCGACATCCCGCTGACCATAAAGCTGGATGTGGGACAGGTGGGCGAGGAGGTGTACGGGATCCAGATCTACACCTTGGACGAGCACCTGGAAATCGAYGCTGCCATGCTGAGCTCTGTCCCCCACAGCACCCTGTGCTCAGGMTGCAAACCCATCCAGTACAAAGTGGTCCGGGACCCCCCTTTCCAGTCTGGATCTCCAGTGGTCATCTCAAACCTCAGCAGGAGATTTGTCGACACGTAAGTAGCTGGATAGACTTGTTCAGATCCAAGCAGTGCCCTGTTCTTTTCATCCTTCTCACGTCCAAGCACTACAAGTGATTGTTAGGATGTTGACCTAGACAGAAATGCCAAAACAGGATGTTCTYACTGTCTCTCTCTGAAAACAGGAGCATCAAACCCAAATGAAATAGCCTGAGATTTCATGGATAGTTTTTGAGAAACTTCTGGGCTGGTTATGCAGAGATGTGTAATTCGGGGTTTTTTTTTACTAAAAAGGATAAATCTGTCTAAGCTATGATAAATTAAGTGATTAAGCAAACCTAAATGAGGACTTCTGGAGTAACATGGTTATCATTTCCTTGGAAATCTTTTTAACGTAATATTCTGATGGAGAAGGAGAAAGCACGGCTTTCAATGCTGGAGCACCAATTAACTGCTAAAGAAAGTGTGCAAAGAAACACCCTTGCATGTTCAGCTGTGTAAATGTGTTTCAGCCATTCCCATTTTCTGCTTTCATGGGTCACTGRGCCAAGCTGTGTTGGTGTGAGATTGTTCTGAAAGGGGAAACATGCCAAGTGCTCTAGTTTGTTGTAGGAACTGAGTGTCATTACACTCATCTAGTCCAGGGATGCACTATTGTTGAGGAAAGTCCAACTTCAAAATATTTACTGATTTTGAGGAGATCCATGATCTACCCATAAGCATTTGACAGCAAGAAGAACATCTTCTGCATAACATGATTCCCTGGAAATGATTCACTCGTCTGTGGGAGCAACGTGAAGCTCTTTTGAAAAATGAACACCAGATAAAAGGAAACCTGCTAAGAAAACTGCACTCTAATTTAGAAAAGATGATCTAATTAGTACAGCTAATATCAAGGAAGCATACATCATTATGGTCTTCTAAAGCATATTTAAATAGAATAAAAATGATTAATTAACAATTCAGTAATCATGAGCTCCCATCCCTTTTCTCAGCCCAATTATGCAGCTCAGAAGATGCAAATTGTCCCTACGGATTTAAAAATTCAAGGTAACTAATGGTGAATCTGAAAACAAAATACAGTGAATCTAAAAACAACAATGAATCTAAATATAAATAGAGAAACTAAATACAAAAACCCAGGACATCACTAAGATTATTCACGTGCTGAAAGTTAAGCATGTGTGTAAGTGYTTTCTTGGGTTGTAGCCTTGTTCTAACAATTGCTGGCACTCAGCATGAGATGAATATTGGCATATTGGAAATGTGGAAAGTGGTGAATTTTCCCAAGATTTTGCTGCGAAAGCATCTTTGCCTGAAACCTGGCCCACTCTCCTTGGAAAATGGGACTGGTTTGGTTTGAAATATTTGCATACCTTAGCACAAGTTCCCACAGAAACAGGTCCAGTTTTGACTTCATAACACAATGTGAAAGAAAAAAGAAAAGCCCAAAACATAACTTGTATTCTGAGTTCTCTGTCTTTTATTATGATTTTGTGGTCACTTCTAGCTTTCAGCTCAAGTGAAAAAGTGCTCTAAGAATTAAATCWGTAGCCAGGAATTAATGACAGTTTTCTTGAGTGTCATTGATTAAATCACATGGGGTGACAGCACTGTCCAGGTCTGTATGTCTCAGGTAGTTACACAGCCAGCTAAAAATCAGACAGAACATCTAATTTAGTCTTTCTGGGTTCCACCTGTGATCAGTGGGCAGAAATGGATGCTCCTGGAAGYTGGMACAGCCAACCTCCCAAMCAGATTCCATCCAAACCCTCCAGCCCAGCTGGGTTCAGTTCCTCCATGTCTTACCAGGCACTACAGGGAAAATCCTGCCAGTCAGCTTTTACAGGACACTCAGGAAGTGAAGTTATAGTCACTGTGTGAGGAAGAAAAGATACAGATTCTTGTAGTTATCTTTGAGACTGTTTTGGTTGATTTATAATGAGGGTGGGCAGGCCCTGGCACAGGGTGCCCAGAGAAGCTGTGGCTGCCCCTGGATCCCTGGCAGTGCCCAAGGCCAGGCTGGACATTGGGGCTGGGAGCAGCYTGGGACAGTGGGAGGTGTYCCTGCCATGRCWGGGGTGTTGGAGATGGYCTTTAAAGTCCTTTCCAGCCCAAATCATTCTATTATTGTGTGATTCAATACTTTACTGTGTGTTTGAAATGTTGAGACATGAGATGAATTTTTTGTCATATGGTACAGGCACAGCACTGATCAGTATCCCCTGGTGAGGGGGGACATTCAGRGGCTGCTGCTGGGCTGTACCTTGAGACACAACAAACTCCTTGGAACTCTGCATGGGGTCATGGCTTTCTGGTAGAGGCAAAAGCAATATGAATTTTCCATTGGAACCTCGTGCAAAGTGAAAAGAGTTGCCACAGTGCTTAGACTCCYTAAGCAGGAAGGAAGGGAAGATACTCCATGGAATTCAGGGACAGAGGAGTTGAGCTGTGCTCCTTATAATCATGTGTAGAGGTAACTGCAGTCCCTCTCCTCCTGCCCATATCTGCCTGTTTGCCTCATTCTGCACTGCTGCAATTCAGGATATTTGTGCAGCCAGACTTTGCAGCCCCTTTATCTCCTGTGAGCCCCAAGCCTTGTTGCCCCTCCTTGTTGCCCTCAAATTTTTTCCATATTAAMTAAAACGACACCCCTACACGTTCTGTGAAGGGCTATTTTGAAGGCAGCCACATATCTTGGCTCTTGCCTCCTCTGACCTTGATCTTTGCTTTCTTTTTTCTCCCAAAGAAAATATTTGCTTGCACTGTTATCTGTGAGCAAGATCCTCTCCCCAGGTGTGGCGATGCTGAAAGAAAAATTAATTTCTCTTACCTTCTTCCCGTCAAAGAGAGAGAACTTCCTTTTAAGCTGAGAGGAGAGAGAGCTTTTAATGGATAGCCCTTGCCTAGTCAGCACTGGGTGCTCCACAGAGGAGAGTAAATAACTCGAAAAGTGGAAACATTTTATTAAGAAATGCAAAACAATGCCAGACCTTCTGTTCTCAAGCTGAATTTTAATCTCAGCTCTTGGCTCAAGCTGAGGCTTAAACATTCATTTCTGAGGGACAGGACCTTATCCTTGGACCTCACAGAAACCAGGCAAGATGCACTCAATTCCACTGAGTGTAATCAGCCAGAATTGCTGGTATCTGTGATATAAAACGAGAGTCAGAGCCTAGGCAAGGAAGCAGAAAGCTAAATAAATCAGTGGGGGGAGAAAAAGAGGTCAGGCCAGGTGCAGCACAGAACTGCTGAGTCTTCACACCACAGCGAGTGATAAGGAAGGAGCCTCATCTGCAAGTCTCAAAGTCTCAGCTCACAGTTTAATCCAAAGTGAGGGCTGTGCACATGCACAGAGGGCTGTATTCTGGCTGTTCTCTGCAAACGGTGTGTGTCATGGTCACAGTGACACTCGAGGTAGTGGCTCTTCGCCATTCCTGGAGCGTTTTAACACTCACATTGTTGTTTTGGGGAGTTGCTGCTTTTTTAAGAGCTCAGTGAGCAGTCAGAGTCCTGAGCTCTCTGGAGGGTGTCACAGGCACAGKTAGGTGTCAGTCCCTCCAGGGCAGGCTGGGGTGAGCAGCCCGTGCTCCCCWTGGCACTCACAATATCCCAAAATGTGAGCAGAGAGCAGCTGGGTGCACTGACCAGACCTACGTGCTCTCCTCTGGCAGGCCAAGCCAAGGGGCACTGAGGCTGCTTTTGGAAAGTTGTCAAAATGAAAAAGTTTTGAAGAATTGGAAATTTTCCCAACTTTTCTGCCACAAACTTTGTAAGAAGYCTCAAAGTGTGGTGGAGAGCMCWGRAKCAGGTTGTCTTTGTGGTGTTAACCAGTAGGGTTTTTTTCAAGACAAAGGCATAGACTGAAATAACMTGAGAAAGAATCTCAGCACGAAGTCCTGGTACAAGGTTTGGGTTTGCAGAGTTGAGCTTCTCTGAGAATCAAGTTTGCAGTCCTGTGATATGTTATTCTGAGCTGTTCCTGACACACAGAGATCTTGCATTCAGGCTTCAAAAAAGAAATACTGAGAGAAGCTTGCATTTTCTTGTGCAGTGAATAAGTTTTTCTTCTCAATTTTGGCTATTTTGTATTGACACTCTGGTTAAACATCTTCTGTTGCTTGAGAATAGCTGGAGGGGTCTGGTCATCACTCTGCAAACAAAAAATTGTTCAAGTCAGTACAATATTTTTAACTACCTTGTTAGAATCAGGACTTCCATTCAGTGCTGAACTTGTGAACTTCAYGGCATTTCTTGGGTTTTAACTCTGTTTTAACACCTAAGGTGGAGGAGAAAGATCTCACTCAGGCTTCTTGGAGTACTTGCAGAATGACTGAGAAATTGCCACCCTCAGGATGGCAGGTGGCTGCAGGGCTCCTGTGGCACCATTTGTGAGTCCTCAGTGTTTCWTTGTTTGTGGGTCCTYAGCAGTTCATGTSCTTCAGCCCTGTGCTTCATCCAGCACAATCATTTGTTTCCAAATTTGCTTTATTGAAATATTTGCTATTTGTTTCTGGTCCCCAGTTGGAAGGGGCATATGATCAGTGACTTGTCAAAAACCCCAGATGAGGAGAAGCCAAGTGAAATGGAAACTACAAACAAMAATAGGCAGAGGCTGGAGAATCAGCACTGGCTGTTCATAATGAGTGAGAGCTCCTTACAGCCAGGTACTGGTGTGCCTTTTAGCCCCTGAAATCAAGAGGAAGAATGCATTTCCCTGACACAGGCCCAGTGAACAGACTGGGAAATTATGAATATCCCAATGGAGATACCTGAACCCAAATCTCTGCAGAATGCAACGTTAAAATTTCACAGCGACATCTGTCCTTTTGGTGACATTCCTTCCTTCACCTCAAAGATCTATTTCTCTGTTTCCTGGAGCTCTACCAGCCAGAGGAATGTATGATCTAAAGCAGCTGCAATGAATTGCCAAATCTATCTGTCATGAAGATAATTAACACCATATTTCCACCCAAACAAGATACAGATCACTGGGTGGTTTTTCTCCCGACACCAAAAGATGAAGCCCATATTAT